CTACAAGGACGTCCCGGCCAGGATGGCGTACGGCTGCTACTCCGGTACCACTTCGGAAATGACTTCCACCAACGCATACCCCAACCGCTGGCGATACCTGCTTTATCCCTTCCAGGACATCAGCGGCCCAATTTGCATGAACCGCACCGTCAAATGGATTTTCCTTTCCTGCCTTTTGGCGCTGCAGGCCCTCTCGCTTATCTGGTTCACCATGGTCATCCGGGTTGCGGTCGGAGTCCTCCGCACTGGAAATGCCGAGGAGCCTCGCAGCGACGACGAAGAGGAGGAAGAAAATGTTTCGGGCAAGGATGGCCCCAATGGCACAGCTGTCCCGATCGATGGCTCTAGTGCGGACTGGCGCCGTGCCAATGGGTCGTCAAATGTACGGCCTCGTGGACGCGGCCGTGTTCGTCTTGGCGACCAGAGCGATCATAAAGCGCTACTCGGCCGGATCGGATGCGATAAACCGACCTAGACACACTTTAACGTCTTTGACTTTGCGTTTCTTTCTTTTACTAATGATATCATGGATGTGGATACGGACACGCTGAGATGCTGATGTCGATGATCATCAAGACATTACCAGCTAGAAACACGTGAAACGAACCAGCAAAGAAGTACAGTTCAGTTCGCATTGGGAAAAAAAGTTCTACCAGGCCTATCCGTTCTATATGTTTTCAATTTTCAGCAGGTGCTCATCTTGTCTTTGCGTTTGATACCATTGATCTTGATTGGTAGTGATTGTGGATTTTTCTCCCTTTTTCATTCCCTATTTTACTTTGCATCGAACTTACCCCACCTCACACATCACACCCCCACCTGATCTGTCAATAACGGCGTGCACAATGATCATTATGTTGTCTTATACTATGCTCTATGCTGCTGCTTGTCATTGCCTATCTTGCTCAAGTTATTTATCTAGATGATGATGATGTTGCTGGCCGATTGCATGCTTTGTTTGCCTTGATGCCCCTTCCATTTATTTGACTTGTGGAGAGTTCTTGTTCTTTCTTCTTGTGGTTTAGGGACGTAATACAAATACCCACTGGTTGATGGTTTTATTGTTATTTTTCCACTTTTTCATTTTTATGCAGTGTATGATAGCCTCAGCGAGAGATAGATACTTTACGATTTGCATCGTACAAAGTGACACAACTGCATCATATTACATGGTACTGGTAACATTGAACCGCATTGAATCTACTCTGTCATCCCTCCTTGCGCTGCATATGACATCAAAGATTTGCAATCAACTACTAGATGAATTAGATTAATAAGTCTTCCTCACAATCTACCCCTCATTACTACCCACCCACCATTCACAAACGAATAGAGGACCAGCCCTGTTGAAAGGGCTTTATATAGCCAGATCTTCTTAACACGATACACCATAGGCAATAAATAAGCAAGTAGTACCCAGTCCAATCCCATTCCATCCACTTATTTCATTCCATTTTCAATTTGCCGTGTGAAACGCCCAAAACACCATCCGTCTTCATTATTCCCAGTCATTCATTCATTAATCTGTGGTCTTTGTCTCGTTAAAAGCGTTAAGCCAGTCCATGGGTCCCCGTGTGCGCCAGTTCACATCCGTCCAGTAGTAGTATCCGGGTTTCCCTCTTTCGTGAAATAAACGCCGAGTATTAACTGAATGAAGTTGATGCAGTGCGAATGAACAACATACATATACGCCGTAAGGCAGAAGGATTGGCGAAAGGAGAGAAAAAAAATTAGAAATATTACTTAGGTAAAAACAGGTATATTTGTAGTATCGTCACCCACTTCGGGGGCTGCAATGGAGGATAAACTAAAGTTAAGGATATCTTCACGCATCTGGGCCTCGTTCCAGAAGTAGTCTGGTGAAGATGAGGATGAAGAAGGGGAGGCGTCTTCCTGGACATGAAGGAGACGTTTTCGTTGGCGGGCGGCCAGAGTTTCGGCGTCGATTTGGTCACACCCGAGTGCGCATTCTTGTTGAGTGACGATAAAGTCGATGAGGACTTGGCGGAGACGGTCCCAGATCGTGCCGTGGCGTTTCCATTCGAGGCGCTTGGCGACTCGGACCATGCGGGAAACTATCCAGCATCGGGCGCCGGTGTCTCCGCGGTGGTTCGGCGGGTAGCCGCCGTTGTTGAGGAAGAGCCAGAGGACGGATGTGATGCTAGGGTTGGTGAATGGATTCATGCTTCTGATTTCCATGCTTAGCCATTCCATGTAGGGGTCGAGGGAGGTTGAGTTTAGGTAGCATTCGTGAAGAGCGATGGCCAGGAAGAAGAGACAGGCCATGCAGGTGTATTCGTCGATGAAGCGAATATCTCGAATTCCATGATCGTAGTCAGGAAGCATCGTGAGAATGGTGTAGAGCTGCGTGCCGGGTGTGAAAGAGTTGATGCGCTTGGGCGGGGAATCGGGTATAAGAGTATAAGGAGCATCTAGGGCACAGCGTTCTAGTTCGCGGAGATGACGGAAGAATCGCAAAAAGTCTTCGCAGGCGCGAAAGGTTTCGCAGAGGCTCTCCGAGTCTTCTGCTGTAGTTGAGTCATGGGGTACTGCAAGGTGAATGGTCGGGTCCAGGAAGTCGAGAGGAGGAGTAACCGAGACAGCCCCGGTCCAGGGTAGAGAAGTGCTGACAATGGCCTTTGAGGCGCAACTAAAATCCACCCTGGAAACAGTTAACAAATCTCATTTGACACAGACAGCCACACAAAAATTACCAATACAGCACCTTCTCCAGGAAGGGGCTAGAGATCCGCATGCCTTGCATCCCTCCACGACTCCTAATCATCGATGCCAATCCTCTAAAATGCATTCGTTCTATGGATGCATCCTTGGACCATTTCTCCAAGGAGTCAGCTAAATCCTTGACAATGAAACGCAACTAGTCACAGTACCTCGATGACAGCCATTGTGGCAACAGCGTAGATAGTTCCGTCATACTGCCCAGTGGAGTCTGCTTGTATGCGCTCGTTCATCAACCGTAGCGCTCGCATCTTATGGGTCAAGCTTTGGACGGACTCAGCTTTTCCTTCCACACCTGCACGGTGCTTGGATGCAATGGCGAGCATGGCCTGGAACGGCAGGCCATCGTGCAAAGCAAACTGCCGAAATATCTCCATCATGGGGTTGTTCGCGATCGAGTCGGCAAACTTATACATCATAGATGGGTACGTGACCACAACTAACATACGTGTAAGCTCCAGTCGGGAAGTAAAGCGATATGCAGGGGTTTGAAGTGCGCATGCAACGTCTTAGGTTTAGGGATGACATATGCGGCGCAATATAACGTACAATGTTGGATCAATTCATGATCTGCATGGCTAACCGGAATTGGATAGCAGCTAAACGGGTCTCGAACGGAACCTTCTCCAGGAGTAACGAGGGGGTCTAAGGTTTTAACTGTAGGCTTCTGAGCAGCTAGTGAGGAATGAGGTACTCCCTCCTCGCGCTTGACCTTGTGTAATTTAGGAATGAGCAATCGCGAAGGTCCCTTGGCCTTTTCAGGCGGCGAGTGGTCCTCTTCGCTACTCGGCGAACCCTTTTCGGACTTGATAGCAGGATCATCTTGAATTTCCTCCGCCAGCGACGAGGAGGACTCGGGTACCTGGGCGTCAGATGGAGAGCGGGGGGTCCAACCACCGCCAGGTATACGAGCTGTCCCCAGTCGCGCGATGCTGTCCAAGCGCCGCTGATGCATGTACTGGCGCATGGCATGGCGGCGGACCTGGCGCTTGGACTCATGATCCGTGACTAGGACAAACTCGAAGTTCCTGGAGCCGGACTGCTGAGCGGGTCTGGCAGGCCGGTTTCTCGAAGGACCTGAACGGTCTTCTGCATGATGATTGTTGTGATCATTGGAATGGCGACGAGCAGGCGCAGGACCTGGGGCAGCGGCCACATTCACATTCTGAAACTTAATATCTGATGTATTAGAGCTAGTTCCGGGGTCGGGGTTACCCTCCTCCCCCATTATCTCATGATTTGGCCTGGCCCGGCAAACGCGTAGTACCGGTCAGGCCCGGGAATTGGGGACTGGGGACAAGAGCCGAAGGGTGGGGAAGACCAAACAGAGCGTCTTGTCTGTACTTGCTGCAGCTTTTCTTGGGCAGTGGAGCTATCCGAGGAGCCCGATGAGAATCGATAGGGCAAAAGCTTCAGAAACTAAGGCCGTGGCCGCAAGAGATGGCGCATAGCAGAGAATATCGTTGGACTGGCACAGAATGGCGAAACTCCAATGTTCGCCGTCAGCCCGATTTCCCCTTTGGGCTTTGCTTCCCCCACCCTCGTGCCCCCCACGTGATGATCTCCCGGATGACTCAGCTGCTGTCGGGTCACCGCTGCTTCTCTCAGTTGTGTTCTCCCTCTCTCCTGGACCACTGGAACAAAACAGTCTAGAAGGCACTCAAAGTATGGCTTTACTCTATCTCTAAAGTTAACATATTCTATAGAGAAGAAACCTAGGAACAGTGTTACCAAAGAAGCCTGAGATACATTGTATCCATCCTGAGTGTCTACTGGGAGGCGCCCAGGCACCTAAGAAATAAGCATTGCTACTCCACCTGCTTTAATTCATTCTGGATCCCCTCTTCCCCGTGGGGTAAATTGACTCCTACTATCATTACAAAGTAAGTAAGGTTGATTAGCTCTGGCGACCTTCTGATTTGATGGTCTGAACACACGTAATCCACGATCAGTGCCCTAGTGGCCTACTATTGACGGTATGGGTGTCTAGTGCGCCAATGGCCGATGCAGCTTGGCTAAGCTTCTGTCATCTTCTACTACTTCCCGCTAGGCTGACCAGCCCTACCTATATTGTAACTCTAAGCGAGTCAGCAATATCGTTAATTGTTGGCTCAGGGAAATATTAAATCACATAAACCCCACCTCATATACATCAAGTCACGTGCAGATTGTGTTATCCACTGTATACTCTCCGGAATACGAGAAAGTAATATAACGCCCAAATCCTAAATGGGAAGTTGTATGATTGGCTCCAGTTCCCGCTGGATATCTAGGCTGCGGGATGGGATATGTTATTGGTAACCGCAAGGTAATGTTTGTTTATTATACCACAGTCTCCATATCATAAACAAAAGTCCACCTGATTAAGGAATCAACCACCGTCCTCTCGATACTTCGCAAGAGCAGCCATAATGCCCTCACTCATTCCCTCCTCCTGCTGACTCGACTCCTGCATGCGACGGTCTTCGACGGCTTGTCTCCGTGCCTCTAGGCGGCCATCCTCAGCATCTGCTAGGATTGTTTCTGCGGCTGTGTCTTCATTTGTTTCCGAAGGATTGAAAGGCTTGTCTTCTTGGCCCTCCAACCCCAGTTGCATGACTTCCAGCGATCCCTCCGCGAGTTTTCCTCTTTGCCGACTCGACCCTAAAGCTTTCTCTTACTGTACTACACCACTGCTTGACCTTCTTCTCACCCCATCCAGGTACTGCACTAATCTGTTCAGGTTGCGCATTGACTGCGTTCTGCAGGCTTCCGAACGTAGATATCAAGCTAGCTGCATCTGATTTATTAATGCTCCGGGGTGTCGTGACGAACTCAACAAGAGATTCTTTATATGACTGGGCTTGTTGCGTGCGAATAGCAGTGGGTTGAGAGTTTTCAGAAGACTTGAACAGTTCAAGGTAGTGTGCAGCTTCAGGTGCAGACCAGCAAAGGATCAGCGTCATGTTGTTGACGATGGATGTTTTCGAAAGCTCCTTCAAGCTTTCCTCATGGTTTGGAATATCCACAATAACCAGGATAATCCGTAACAGATATTTTCCTGCTATGAGACGGATTCGCGAGTAGATATATTCGGGATGTAAGCGGTGATACTTCAAGGAAAGAAATAAAGCACAGGTGGTGTTTCCGACCACATAATCGGCTGGTATGTCTGCATATTCCCATGGCAGTAGTTTGATATGATTCAAGATCGGATTGCCTTTTTGTCGTGTTGACACGAGGATGGCAGATGGGCCAGACCTGCTGGGGAGTGCTTGTGGCTTAGGCTGTTGGACCTTAGATGATGGCTGCGGCGTCGAGGCACCAGAAGCTCGAGGCGTAGCCGATTCGGAACGTGCTACTGGGTCCATGCTGATTTCTTTGCCCCCAGTATCATCCGCTATTGGTTCGGAGGAGATAGAACGCTACTGCATCAGGTGCCTCGCAGAATATAAGCGAACGGGACCCTGGATGTTGTCATGCCACTTCGATTTACACCAATCCTTGGCAGTAGTAGGTGGGCCATACAAGGGTTCCCGATTGGTGATGATGATGTAGGTCACGTGGTAAGTACATCATGTGACTTGCGCAATTATCTTCTACATATGTGCCATGAGAAGAGGATTAGCGATGGTAGACAGGAGAATTGTAAAGTCATGATTTAGCAAGAGTCTCTGACTCCGTCATTTTAACATTGGGAAAGCATACGCTTCCGTCAGGTTTCGCATAGCACTATCTAGTTCAGTATGGCATATGCCATTGAGAATCACCAACCTCGTTCTGTGTATACGAGGAATATCTTCTATCTGCGAAAATAGCTATAGAATGCATGAAAGCAGACAAACATATCGAAAGGCAGACAAATAGCAAGAGCAAAGATCTAGACTGATATGTAACATGAAAGTAGATGGAGCACGGTGGAGACCCATTCCTCCTCACCGCCTGCAGACCCGCTTTTGCCTCCAAAAGTCAAAAATCGGCATCGGGATTTTTCTGCCGCTGATTCTGCTACAGAAAAAAAAGTTACTCAAAAACACCAATTAAGGCTGAGAGGAACGAGTCCAAGATGAGTTCCCCCGAAGCCAGCGAGATCAAGGGCAGCGCTGCCCCTGATACCAACATGGATATACAAACCGAGAAGCCAACACAGGAGACACCGGCCTCCAACCAGCCCAGGAGAGAGCTTTTCATCCGATCGCTTCCCGCCTCCACGACGACCGAGAGCCTGACGGAATATTTCTCGCAATCCTACGTTATCAAGCATGCCGTTGCTGTAACAGACCCTGAGACGAAACAATCGAAGGGATACGGTTTCGTGACGTTCGCGGATCTCGAAGACGCAAAGGCCGCGCTGGAGGAGTTCAATGGCTCTGTTTTCGAGGGCAAGAAGATCAAGGTTGAATACGCTCAACCGCGTCACCGTGTTGTTGATGAGAACCTTGGAAGGAGCAAGCCTTCGGCTGAAGCTCTTGAACAGAAGAAGAAGAGAGAGGATCAGAGGGCGGCCGCTCAGCCTAAGCTGATTGTTCGAAACTTGCCGTGGAGCATCAAGGAACCCGAAGACTTGGCGGTTCTCTTCCGCAGTTTCGGCAAGGTCAAATATGTTACCCTTCCCAAGAAGGGAAGCCAGTTGGCCGGTTTCGGTTTCGTTGTTTTGCGCGGAAAGAAGAACGCCGAGAAGGCCTTGCAGGCAGTGAACGGAAAGGAGGTGGACGGAAGAACACTCGCTGTCGATTGGGCTGTCGAGAAGAACGTCTGGGAGGATCTACAAAAGGACAACGAGGAAGAAGACAAGGATGTAAAGGAGGAATCAGAAGATGCTAACATGGAGGATGCCATCGAAGCAGAACTTGGCATTGATGAAGAAGCCCAATCTGACGAGGACGACGACATGGAAGACGGTAGCGACGTTGATGAGGATGAGGATGCCGAGGAGGACGAGGACGAGGATGAGGATGAGGGAGAGAAGGAAGACGAAAGGAACGCTTCGACTATTTTCATCAGAAACCTTCCGTTCACCTGCGACGATGATATGCTCTACGAACACTTCACCCAATTCGGTCCCCTTCGCTATGCCCGAATCGTCGTCGACCACGAAACCGAGCGTCCCCGTGGTACTGGTTTTGCTTGCTTCTGGAAGCCCGACGATGCAGCAGCCTGTGTGCGCGACGCCCCTAAACAACAAGATACCCTTGTCGCAGAGAAAGATAAGTCGAAGAAAGCCTCTACCGCCTACAAGCATTCCATTTTACAGAACGAAAACGCCGACCCCACCGGACGGTATACCTTGGAGGGTCGCGTACTACAAGTCGCCCGCGCAGTGAGCAAATCTCGCGCTTCACAGTTAGAGGAAGAGGGAGTGTCTCGCCGACTCGTCCGCGATACCGACAAGCGCCGCCTCTACCTGCTTTCTGAGGGTACCATCCCAACGAACTCCGCCCTTTACAAGAAGCTCTCGCCTTCAGAGATTAAGATGAGAGAAGACAGCTACAAGCAACGACAGAACTTCATCAAGAAGAACCCGGCCCTCCATCTCAGTTTGACGCGTTTGTCGATCCGTAATATCCCCCGTCACGTCACCACCAAAGATCTGAAACAGCTTGCTCGTCAAGCGATCGCCGGATTTGCAGAGGATGCGAAGAAGGGCCTGCGGCAACCTCTGTCCAAGGATGAATTGAACCGCGCGGCCGACATTATGAGAGAGGCAGAGCAGTTGCGGAAGAAGAAGGGTGTTGGTGTTGTGAGACAAGCGAAGATCGTTTTCGAAACCCGGGATGGTCACAAGGTTGGTGAGGAAAAGGCCGCGGGACGAAGCAGAGGTTACGGTTTCGTTGAATACTATACCCACCGCCACGCTCTAATGGCTCTCAGATGGCTCAATGGCCATGCTGTTGAGGCACCTGCGACTGGCTCGGAGGACAACAAGGAGAAGAAGAAGCGTCTGATCGTCGAGTTCGCCATTGAGAACGCCCAGGTTGTCAAGCGCCGACAGGAACAGCAGGCTAAGGCACGTACCTTCAAGAAGGGCAAGCAAGATGGTGAAGGTTCGGCTGATAAGGACGAGGGCAAGAATAACAAGGGAGGTCCCAATGGGAAGAAGAGAAAGCGCTCTGACAACAATGAAAAGGGCGCAAATGGGGAGGATGATGAGGAACAGAATAAGCTTGCAAAGCGGAATCGTATCATCGCGAAGAAGCGGATGCAGCGAAGATCTCGGAAGGGAAAGGCTTAAGGCCGGGTACATAGATAAAAGTCAATGCGGGTTATATATGGAGTAAATAGCTAATGATATCTGTCAACAAGCTCATTCATTGGTTTCTGGCGCTGTATTGTTCAATGCATCTGTCGTCGACAACAGTTTTGCATTGACAGTAGCTCGCGTAAAAGTAGAGTCCACGGGTATAATCCTTGCATTAGAGAAAGGTTGATTATCTCAAAACATCGCTGCTAATCATCTCCTCACTTCAGTAGTTCGTAGCATCCTGCACCTTTCCCACAATGTTGTAGCGTTTGCTGAAAAACGTGAACCATTCATCCAGGACGGTCTTCTCCTTGTCCTCCAGATCATACCAATCGGGTTTGCAATCCTCGGCTTTGAGCGACGAAGAGGCGAGGGCGCGGGAGGGGTCCTTTCCAGCAAAGACTAGTAAACATGTGTCAGTACACCAGTTCACAATCATGAAGCACAGATATAGGCAATGTATTCAAGGCATAATAGCTTACCGTGGTACTGTCCACTAGGACTGTATGCCTGATTCCGAGTCACATCGAAAACGATTCCCTTGATCGCAACCAAGGTGGGACGGTTAGGATCGGTACCTGGAAATTGTAATTTGTCAGTTTATGAAATTCTAACAGGTTTAAAGAATCCTTGGAGGTGTAGTGCCGAAAACTCACCATCGCATTTGGCCAGCTCCTCAACGGTTATGGGATCATATTTCGGGGGGTCAAGCTGGACGGGGATCTTGGGAGAGAAGCGCTTCGGCTCAGGCTCGTGCTCGACCATTGTGACGATTGTTGATTGTGCAGGTAGTCTTATTCGGTGGGTTTCTCGCTGGGAAGCTGTTGTTTTGCAGCAGGCGCTGTCGAAAGACGAGGTTCGTTGCCGGTTAAACAGGCGCGGGGCAGGCGGGGAGAGCTCGGAGCGGCGAAACCGTGGGTCGAGGTCTGGCAGCTACCGTCCGCGGCTCGGTGATGTTATCGTCAGTCCCCATCTCGTCTTCTCGGATGAGTAGTAAGTGTCCTTTACAATTACTTTCATTGGCTCTTGAGACATCGACTCCTTGATATCTTCTGGATATCCACTGCCCCTGAACTTAGGTGGTTTTAGACTTGCCTACTATCCAGGACCAGACTCTGTAGTTGCTCTGAATCATGCATGCAGGAAGTCAGTGATCTGTAAGAAACGTGATCGCAATAGTTTGGTTGGCAACTGAGCCCCCTTTCCGCATCTGTAGAGAATTGCCTACTCTGGAAGCCCCGTGATTGGCACCACTTCTGACGTCAAAGATGCCTGATGGCCAACTGTATCTATCATATAAGCAAGCATCACACGCGACATCCATCTTTGTCTATATGTGTTGCAAACCGTTGCATCTTGTGTATACAGAGCTGGATTATCCATTCTAATCCTCTTTGTCATCATACTTATCACGAGGAGTTTCTCGAAAAGCACGCAAAATGTCCACACAACAAAGTAGTCAACCGAGAGTCATCCAGACCCCATCCCTTGCTCGGGGCTCTCATGGCAATGATGCAGAAAGAGACCGCAGATCGATCTCGGAGGAATCCGATCTGTCGCATTACCTCCACTACGAAGACAATGATGGCTTTTTCCCTCCGGCCTGGCTAGGGAAGGCACCGCCTACTCAACATGGAGATGGTACGAAGGTTCTGGATAAAAATTCCCAAACTGAGATGCGAACATGATCAATGACACAAGATGTCCTCGCATGAATCGACTGTGACGTATGTTTTCAATAAGGGTTCTTTCTCACTGGCGTCATGGCGTGAACAGCTTTCCATATTCGTTGAAACTACGAGGTTCGGAAATGAATGGAAAATTGCCTAGAAAAAGCATCATGTCCGTCGAATCCGTTCTTCCTCTTTGGGTCTTGAAATCATACGGATACAAGTCGCCACAGGGAAGGCAGGAACAGAGACTCACATGGCTACAATTGCTATATCAAGGGGCGATTACAGGGGCGCTTGTTGGAACAAGGATTACTTAGTATTGTCATTCTAGTCAGTCTGGGATTAGTATCATGTACGGCCTAGATCGCGCCAGACCTATGGTGCCCTAGCTGCTGCTACCTCGTTGGTTGGTTGTAGCTGAGTTAAACTGTCTCACAGTCTGCAATGCACAGTTTGAAGAACTTGTTTAACCTGCAGTCTCACAAAGGCCTCTCTGCCACCCATATCCATACCAGACTTGTCAACTGACAGTCTGGAGTCACTCATGTGACTCCCCGGCTGAATGCCACGGCAATTCCCCAAAACAGTTAGGGCGGGACATCCCCGGCCGAGGTTTAACTTCAACTTTTCCCTCTGCCCCTCATACTTGGGTCCCTTGCTGCCCGTGGCATTTATTTTCCGTGCGTGTCATTTGGCTCGGTAGTATACTACTCAGCTGCAACCAGCTATTGACTACTTACTATCTGCGACTGGCTGCAGTCATTGATACATGCGAACCAATCCGGAGGTGCCGCAACTAATGTGCTTTACCACATCTGGTTCTAGCCTACATGGCTTATCATCGACTTCGCTCCTCTGTCAGGTTTGAAGACCTGAAAATCCGGAGGTATGCCTTCCTGGCATACAATTGTCTTGAATTCTGCCATCTACCTTGCAGATGGCGCTGCCTGGCACTCTTACTCTGTATTCATGAAGATCCATCGCTTTATCCAGCGGCAAAAAGTGACACTGATCACAGGTTACACGAAAATCGTATTCCAAGCTGATTGGACACCTAGATGGTCGATCTGTCTGTGTTGTATCTGCAAAATTATACCCGATGCAGGAAGGTTCTGTAGGGTCAGATAAGTACTGTAAGTTCGTATACAGTGTGACTTAGCACACAAGCATAAATTGTGTGGCTAGTCTTCCAGCTCTCTTATCAATCATCATGAATTCGAGTCAATAGGAGAGTGCAGTGTAGTTGTTAGCGTGGATTAATACAATCAAGTAGGGTAGAAATAGCAAGTAAGGACAAGGTTAAAGCGAGCACCATGTTTTGCTCAAACGCCACGCACAACTGTATCTGCCCGCCATTGTGGGGTCTCCCAATGGAGTCGCCGAAGCCGTAAAGTCGGCTTCCGTACTGTGATTTGTCTCCTTGATTCCCTTGCACGAGTTATCCCTAGACCATAATTGACTAAAATGTCTTCTGCCGAATAATGCCCCATGATGAGGGATATCCGCATGGCGAGAACCGTTCTTGACCGGTCTAGCTAGCCCACCATTTTTCTTCGCGGTTTCCCTTCGCCCGCTTTCTTTTTCTTTTTCTACAAAGTAGCTCACTTCCTTTCCTCTTATCTTCGTGCCTCATATTTCGTCTAATGTCTTTGGATTTGCTTTTCTCTACTTAACTTGTCCACTGCTGGGGCTCGGTGAATTTTAGCCACAGTATGGCTTTTACATCTGCCATACACACCGGGAGGCATTCCCCCACAATCAGCCCTCAAGGACTAGGCGCAGAGCGTAAAGAAGCCGCTATGGAACGCTCCGAGAAGGACGCTGTTGTTCGTGACAGTGAAGAAGTACTCGAAGATGATTCCAAGAAGCTTGCCTACGACCATACGCATCGCAAGCTGAAGCCCAGACATATCCAGCTCATCGGTATCGGTGGCACAGTCGGGACCGTGTTGTACGTCCAGATTGGTAAGGCACTGATAGAAGGTGGTCCTGCCAGTCTCTTCATCGCATTTATTGTCTGGTTAGTCATGCCCTTACCATTCCCTTCCATTGTCTTTCGTTGTTCCCTCACGGTGCTGCAATTCTCATCTTGTGAGCTGTCTCAAAGGGTCTCGTTCATAGGTAAGTTTCTTGAGTCGGAAGCACAAAGTACAAGAACCTGCTTTCGGCCAATCATCAGCAGCTACAAGGATGTTGGTGAACATCAGATACCCCATGCACTATGCGTAGATCAAGCAGTGTCAACTGCTTCCTTGTTCCTGACGTGTGCTTCACCCTAGAGACAGCAGAATTCCGGGATTGTCTGGCCTTACCTTATGCATATTGCTGCTAAATATATGGAATCTTATACCTCGTTGATATAGGTCCGCTGTCATTCTATGTATAACTGTTTGTACGGATTCCCTTACCCTGCGATCTTGAAGCCCTCCCAATTCTCTTCATGCCGCTAGCGACACCAAAGCTGCCATTTGCGACCTGTGCGATTTACCTGCATGTCCCAAAGCGCCGGATTTCCAATGGCCTCTCTGATTCCTTCGCAACAACTTGGCCCGCGGACTTGTTCCCTTTGAAGTAGCATTCCACTAAGATAAGATCTATGTTAGGCTTGGCTGAGATGGTCACATATTTGCCCATCTCCTCGCCCTTTATCCGCTTTGCAACTCGATATGTTGACGAGGCCTTTGGCGTCGCTGCCGGTTACAACTTCTTCATCTTTCAAGCCGCAATGGTGCCATTTGAAGTTACAGCGTGTAACTTGATTATCACCTACTGGAGCGATGCCGTCCCTGTCGCCGCAATCATTGTAATTGTGCTTGTGCTCTTCGGGTATGTTATGCTCTGGGTTGAAGCATACTTCATGTACAACTTGGAGCAGTGCAAGCTAACAAGTATCAGGCTACTCAACATCTTTGCAGTGAAGTGGTATGGCGAAGCCGAATTCTGGCTTTCCCTGAGCAAGGTCTTGCTTAGTGTGGGCCTGATTTTCTTCACATTTATTGTGATGCTCGGAGGCAACCCTCTCGGCGATCGCTTTGGATTCCGCTACTGGAAGAACCCCGGGGCTTTTGCCGAATACTACAAGACTGGAGATCTGGGCCGATGGCTCGGGTTCCTTGCTTGCCTCATCCAAGCCAGTTTCACGATTGCCGGTCCAGACTACGTCTCTATGGCTGCCGGCGAAGCAGTCAACCCTCGCAAAATCTTGCCCAAAGCGTACAATGGCATCTTCTATCGACTCACCACCTTTTTCGTTCTTGGTGTGCTTTGCATCGGTATCTTGGTTCCCTACAATGATCCCGACCTGGCTGCTGCATATGAGCAAGACCTGCCTGGTGCAGCTGCATCACCGTATGTTGTCGCCATGGACCGGCTGAAAATCCCCATCCTGCCACACATCGTCAATGCCATGGTCCTCCTCGCTGCTTTCAGTGCCGGGAATAGTTACGTCTACTGCGCCAGCAGAAGTCTGTACGGTCTTGCTCTGGATGGCAAGGCCCCGCGCATTCTCACCAAATGTACAAAAACCGGTGTGCCGATATACTGCGTCTTGATTGTGTTCGTGTTTGCACTGTTGTCTTTCCTACAGGTCTCTAACGGTTCAGCTGTCGTGCTGAATTGGTTTGTTAATCTTGTGAGTCCCTTTCTACCCTCCGCTTCATCTACAGGAACTTACCACACTATAAATCAGGTTACTGCATCCCAACTGATCAACTTTTCCGTCATCACCTTCACCTACACCCGGTTCAGAAAAGCCCTCATGGCACAAGGTGTCCCTCGCGCGTCCCTCCCCTATCAGAGTCGTGGCCAGCCCTATGTCGCGTACATTGCCCTGGTCTCGACTTTCGTCATGACCTTCGTGGGCGGCTACACTGTCTTCCTACCCGGCAACTGGGACATTCCGACTTTCTTCTTCTCGTATACCATGATCGGGGTGTTTCCAGTTATCTACATGGGATGGAAGCTCTGGCATCGTACAAAGTTCCTGAGTCCCAAGGAAGTTGATATCGTCACTGGAGTAGAAGAAGTGGAAGTTTATACCAGGAATTATGTCGAGGAACCATCGAGGTAGGTCTACCTGGTATACTGATGGAGGTCAGAAAGCTAACGATCGCACACAGTAACGCTTTCACGAGATTCAACGATATGGTTTTCGGTTAGACCAGCATCATGAGACAACGTATAGAGAAAATTTGGGAGGCTTTTTGGATAGAAGTTCATATCTCGTTTCTTTCCATAGCAGATGATACCAGAAAAAGCTTTGAAGATAAACAATGAAATCGCTACAGCGTAATCCGAACCGAACAAATATCATACAATACACAAGTATATCCCACCCCTTCAAACATGATATAATACATCCCCCATCTCCAATCTCCACCTTCTATCATCTATCATCCATCTCCTACCACCCCAACCCACTCACCACAATCAACGACCGACACGAACTTGATCTTGATTTTAATTCCCCTCCCCCCTCTCCCTCTTCAACGCCTCCAACCGCATCTTATTCCTCTTCCCCAACACCCTCAGCGTATTCTTCTTCTCAATCTCCGTCATAGCCTCCCAATTCGAGATGCGCGATAACGTTCCATCCTGATTCACCACCACAGGACCCAAGTGATCCAATGCAACTGCTGATCCGTCCCCACTAACGTCGAGTTTCGTGGCTGATTCCGCGTCTGGGAGAGCGAGAATTGGCTTCTCCTTTTGGTCCTGTTCTTGTTGTTGGGTTTGTTGAGTTTGTTGTTGCTCGTTGGACGTGCTCATTGTGGAGTAGTGAGTGCTTTGCTGGCTTTGGTATTTATTATTGGGGATGGTGTTGTTGTAGAGGTGGATTGCTGAGCAGTGAGGGTGGAGAGGAAGGGTTGCTTGGTGGAGGAAGTGGCGCGGTGTGTGGTAGGTGCTTGTTGTTGTGGTTGTGGTGGTGGTGGTGAGTGTTGCGGATGCGGGTGCGATGCGGGCGGTCGTCGTGAGGAGGAGGTTGATGAGTGAGGCGCGGGTGAGGGTGGAGGACATGTACATTATATTCTTTTTCTTTTTATTTCTGTTGGTGGGTTGGTTGTGCTGGTGTGGGTGAGGTGAGGTGAGGGGGGCTTTGGTTGATTATGAGAAATTGAGAGGAAGGGTGATGATGTATTTGGCGAAATCTTGGGATGTGGAGTGAAGGCGGGCGGAGTCGAAAAGAGGATTCTAGAACGTTGGGTTTGTTTTGGGGTACGGATTGCCCACTAGATTGATTTTATTGGATTTTGTAAATTAAGCTGTGTTTTAATGCTATTATTGAGCTTATATATGGGTAATTATTTACTTTTCGTCTTGTCTTGTTGTCTTCGTGTAGCTTGTATCCGTCCCGATATAGATGTAGCGCCGAGCATTACCATATCTACAAGACTACTTATCCATCCATCACACGCTGATTATTAGCGGAACCACCAGTTCACCTGTCAATCAGATAAGTAAGAAAGAGTCATAGGCGCACACTTAAGCCAACTTACCGAAGCCGTCACCCCTGTTCCTACGCCCTTAATACTATGCCACCATCCCCGAGGAATGAACATACCATCTCCCGCTTCGAGATGTGCTTCATACCCGTCTAGCCCCGGCACGGCTTTCACCTCATCCCAGACAGCCTGCTCCAATAGTGTCCTTTCTTGACCCTGCATCATTTCGTCTCCTCGAATCGCAGCTGCCTCGCGACCTGCGCTCCGTCCAAGCTGCCGTCTCACGGCCCCGAACAGCTTCTGTCCATCGCCAGGCGACAATAGCCTCACTACCTTTTGTCCCGCGAGCTGGACGAACAGATTGGGATTCGGGTCCCGATGGAGAGGCGTGTACGTGGGCGGGTGTCCGATCCAAACGTTAGTGTCGTAAACGTCACCTTTTCCAGCCTGCGCTACTAATTCGGGTGTTGGAAAGTCATCACGTAGTACCTGCGGGAGATCGAGGAGTTGGCACTGCGCTAGATACAACCGAGCGGATTGTGTCTCGAGCGTCTCTGCTGTACGAATCCAGTCAAGGAACAGGCTCAGCGGCGCATGAAATTGTTGAAAGGTGAGCCCGTCTGCACCTGTCTCGGCGGTACCGTCGGAGGATGGCTGTGTGAGTTCTAGCGGAACGAAGGCGTCGGCCCCGTGCTGGGCAAGGTATGTCGTATTCAGTTGAGATACATTGGGGTCGGTCGGAGCAGGCTGGAACCAACGCTCAAAGGCAGGGAAATCGCGAAAGGAGCCCCGTGGGAGGATTGTAGGACGTTCCGGAGTGAAGTAATTTGTGCGGAAGGCGTCTATGTCGACATCGTTGAGGGTATCTAGGGGGCGATATGGACGGGACGTCGTGGAGGTAAAGCAGCGATGTTGGCGTGGTTGGTTTGAAGAGAACCGGAGGGTGACGGACGGCAGACGATGCCAAACCCTGAGGTTATTGTTGGGCAGACATTGTTGGAGCCTCATTCAGAAGACCAAGTGTTCAGTCATCCAGAGAAGTGGGTTGGGAAAGCTCCGTTTCCACTGTTCAGTGCTGCTTGGATTGCTGCTGCACGTGCGGTTTGACAAGGTGCAGATCGGGGAATTTCCGCCCCGGCTGGGATTGACCAGTTGCCGGTCAGCCTAGGGATTGCCCTTGGTAGCTCTTCATCCTATCCTTCATTTCAATTTACTGATGACTTCATCTAATATATCTCTTAGATAGGTTTACCTATAAAATATCAGGGAAAGCCCTAACTAGTGGATTTGTCAACAGTACAAGCAAGGGCTGATAAGGATGCCATGTCAGCTGGTGCTGGAGATAAACCATGGACAGAACTCGCTCGGTCATTTTACCTCGACAACCCAATTGGAAATTAGACGGCAAACAACCGACCTGTCATTTGACCATCATCAGGATCAGCTACATTGTACTTGCCCACTTTCTGCTAGGAGTGTTTCCCATTAGCTTATAAGAATAAAAGCGCCGGACGTGAATCTCCTCGACGGCGATCCCTTCCCAGTCCGGCCATCTGGGGAAACGGAAACCCCGCGCGCCATCGAGCAAACGAAAGGAATCCCTCCGCACCGGTCGCTGCTCTCTTTCGCGCCAACAACCAATCGTCCCAACTTGATTTCCATCCAAAATGTCGTCGGAGTCGCCGCAGGTTGATATGGCACCACCCCAGCCAGATTCTGGCGACCAGAATGCCACCCCGGACGCTGATACCGCGAAGAGGAAAGCGGAACCGGCCAACGGAACTCATACTCGTTCCAAGCGGAATCGCTACATCTCCATCGCGTGGTATGATCCGGCTCGCTGCCATCCACCCATGTTGAACCCTCTTGTCACTGGCTTAGCATGTTTCCTCTTATCTGTTAGCTGATTAACCCTGTATTTCCCGTTTAGTAACGAATGCAAGAGGCGGAAGATCAAATGCAATGGCCAGGTCCCCTGCCAACGCTGTGGACACCTTAACCTCGAATGTCAGTCAGCTTATCGCTGTAGCTCCGTGATACACATGGCAAACGCGACTTACCATCTCCATAGGTCGATATGCCCCAAACTGCTGTAACAACAACTTTAAGGATTCCGAGTACGTCGATCATTACATCGTGCCTGCTCTTTTTCCCCCCAGTATGTTATCAGGACCCTCAGCTAACCAGTGCTCCACCACCAGGGAGTTCCGGTCGATGACAGACCAAATCAAGACATTACAAGATCAGGTAAATAGTCTTTTTACCAATCTTAAAGATCTTCGGTCGCAAAGATCGTCCATCGACTCTCCAAACTTCGACGCCTTCTCTCGTGATGGCTCGCAGTCGGTGTTCACGCCTATGCAAGCCCCGTTGAGCAAACCACGCATAAGACATCCCCGGTTCCAGGGGCCTACCAGCTCTGCTTTTAACTTCGATGTCGCAAGGTCTAGTCTACAGAATATGGGCATCGCTCCGCCAGAGGAAGTCATACCAGACGATTTGACCACGGCCCAGGTCACACCGGCTGGCTCTCCTCCCCATGTGGGCCCGTCGTTCCTCACGATGCACCCCACCAAGGATCCGATATGGTCCATCAAGCGAGATGAAGCTCTGCGTCTGTGTCGTGTCTATGAAGAGGAGATTGGTATCATGTACCCGCTAGTAGACATAGACCAGATCGCCCAGCAAGTGAACCTGCTATACACGTTCATGGAGTCAGCGATACGCACTGGGTTTGCGCAACGGGGGTTGCCTGGTGCTGATGGTCTTACGGATGACAGCACGGTTCTCTTGAAGATGATACTTGCTATAACACTAATCGTGGAGGGGGGCGGCCAAAGCGAGCTCGGACAGCGGTTGTATCTGAGCGTGAAGCCAATAGCTGAATCCAAACTCTGGGATACGCTCGACATCAAGACAATCCAGATATATGGCATGATTGTAGGTATATCACTTTGTACTTTGGGTTTGCGCTAACACCTTGAAAAACAGGCAACTTTCCATTTTCACATGGACGATGATGCCATGGCTTATCGCATCATCGGCCTGGCCGCACGGATGTGTCTTGAGATGGGTCTGCATCGGCGCGATGCCCTGAACAAGATGTTTCCTGATGAAGAACAATGGCCAGCCGTGGTGAAGACTTTCTGGACAATCTACAGTCTGGATCGGCGGTGGAGTCTCGGGACAGGGCTGCCTTTCAACATTCAGGATGAAGACATCGACCCTAACCTCCCGGAACCGGTGAGCTATATCATTCATAAAGTCTTTATTGGTCAGCTGCTTATTTCCCTTTAGGATGCTTCATTGCCGTATCTGAAATCAATGATATCATACAATCGCATTAGCTCGAAGATCTGGTATTCCGGGCTGGGCTCTGAGGGTGCAACGGACATACGTCGGGATGAGATAGGTTATCTAGATTACCAGATCCTGCAGTGGTATAAGCAGGTCCCGGATGCCCTAAAATTCTATCCAATCGAGTCTCCAAAGAATGGTCATGTGGAATCGACGAATCGGGGCCTAAGGCGACTAAGGGTTCTACTGTATCTCCGCATGAATCAGCTCCGAATCCTCATCTACCGCCCCGTCCTCCACTCCGCCGCAAGTATTGCCGAGGATAAGAGCCATGCTCAGACGGTGGTGGATGTCGCAAAAGACACTATCCGCGTGCTCACTCGACTCAATCAGACATCCGACATTTACCGCAGCCAACAGATCACCTTCAACTACTTCCTCGTGGCTGCTTTGGCGGTCATCTTCCTTGCTGTCTGCCATGCACCGACAGAGTTCAACCGACAGGTGCGGGACGAGTTCTACATGGCACTGAACTTGATCAGCGGGTTCAGCACAAAGTCCTACGTGTCGAAGCGACTCTGGAAGGCCATCAAAGGCCTCCGAAAGATTGGCGAACGGCTGGGAGTGCTTATGCGGCCCTTTGGGTCTGACTCTAATGATCCCCATTCAAGTGCAGCGGTGGCCATGGCTGGGTTAGCAGGCCACCAGATTGAAGACTTGTCGGTGTATGGCCCGATGAATGGGATCGGCGAGCTTGGCAACAGCCCTCTCAACGGGCTGCAGATGAGCCATGAGCTCACGAATCTATTTGAGGCAGTAGGCGGGTTTGGGAACTTTATGGCTTCCGGGACACCGGCCGAGGGAATCAATGGGTTTGTAGGCCATGATGGTGAAATCCAGAACACGGGGGAGGGGCTCTCGGGAGTGCTTGGAGATGAAGGCGAATGGTCCCGGGTGATCCGAGATTTGTTCTAGAAGATGAGGCTATATCTACAGTCGCCAGGACTGTTCAAATCGTAGCATGAAGCGTCGTTATCCTGTATAACCATAGCTGTCCGATGTAAAGAAGTTGAAGAAACACTGAAGGGAGTCGAGGCTGGTCGGTCGCCACGTGACCGAGGGAGGGAAAGCCAGCGGCGGGTGACTTTCGGTCGCCAACCTCCTCCAAAGCCAATCCCAGAACATGTTCCACTTGTGAATCGCTGTTGGTGTGGCCACCCACCTTCTCTGCATCTGAAGACATCTGGTCTTTCTGTTGTCTATCTTTTGGGCCCCGACTCATCCCTCTGCCGTCGTCTAGCTGCCTTATCTATCGCTCCCTCTTCGTGTTTGAGCACCTTTCCCGACCGCCCCACGAACCTAATTTCGGAAGCCCCTCGACAACCTCCGTCGATCGATTCAGGAAGAGAGAGAAAGAGCCAGGGAGATTTGTGATCCATCCTTATCCACTATCATCTGGAAGGGTCAAATTTATCAATCTCTCTTAATGTCTTGTGGCCGTCAGTGATTCTGGGAGACATCGTTTGCTGAAGAGTCCCCCACCCAATTCAGTCGCGTTAACACACCCTCATCGCACAACAATCTGCCCGCCCGCTCGCCCGCCCGCACACTGTCATGACCGCGACATTCATCACAACTCTGTCATTCTATTAGCCCTACAGCGGACGTCATCTACAGTCCGATCATACCTTATCCATCCAATTCTTGCCTTCCTGCTACAGGAGGGCTCACGACTTCGGAACCTCGTACCAGATCCCATTGCATCTGGTGCAGGTTTAATCGGCGCTTCATCTCGCACGAGATATTTCGCAGTCGTTTCTCCCCCTAGCTCGGCAACGTGTCGAGAGAGATAGGTTCGGCGTTGGCCGACGGCCTAGACAGGCTGGATCTGAGTCAACTGTCTGAATCGACGCCCTCGTCGTCCGCGTCCGACTCCTTCGACATGTCGTCTTCGGAAGGGGCCCCGGAGTCCTGGATCTCCTCGTTCTGCTCGCTGATGGGTCATGAGTTCTTTGCGGAAGTGTCGGAGGACTTTATCGAAGATGACTTCAACCTGACGGGTCTGCAATCGCAGGTGCCTATGTACAAGGAGGCCTTGGAAATGATCCTGGACGTGGAACCCGAGGAGGACGAGGAAGATGAGGAAGAGGAGGAGGAAGAGGAGGACGAGGACGAGATTCTAGGAGATGAGAAGCCGCCAGGATACCGCAGGGCAGGGGAACGGCGGCATGCACGAGTCGCGAGTGATCTGAGCGACATCGAGAGCTCTGCCGAATTGCTTTACGGACTGATCCACCAGCGCTACATCACTTCACGGCCCGGTATCCAGCAGATGCTGGAGAAGTATGAGATGCAACATTTCGGTGTCTGCCCACGAGTCTATTGCAACGGATGCAAGGTTCTGCCTGTCGGACGTTCCGACACGCCTGGCCAAGAGACGGTCAAATTGTTCTGCCCTAGTTGCCAAGATCTCTACACTCCCCCGAACAGTCGGTTCCACTCGGTCGACGGAGCTTTCTTTGGAACTACCTTTGGTTGCCTGTTCTTTATGACCTTCCCAGACCTCGATATCGGACCCCGGCTGGACAGCTCCCTCGCCGCGTTATCACCGACCCGCTCCTCCTCCTTGACATCTTCTTCGATCAACAACCAAGTGGTACCGGATGTGCCTCCTCCCAACCAGCCTGTTGAGATCAACGGCGTGCGTACCGTCAACTTCAGCCCGGGTCTTGGACCGGGTCGGATCTACGAATCCCGAATCTATGGCTTCCGCGTGTCGGAACGCTCACGCTCAGGACCGCGCATGAAGTGGCTGCGGATGAAGCCTCTTGATGTACGGGAACTGGATGAGCTGGCACGGTACGAGGCGCTGCACGGGGAGGCTGATAATGCTGATAATGATGGGGACACGGAAATGGGGAGCGCCCCCGGCAGCGCACAGAGTGCCGCCATTGCGAAAAGGAAAAAGGCGCCCATGCGCAGACGGCGATACAATCCTAACCAGATGAGCATCAACGGAGCGGAGGCCGGATAACGGGTCGCCATTGTCTTTGTGCTTTTTCTGTTAGGATAGCTATTTGAGGGGTGTTTTACATCTCTCTTAATCCTTTCTGTTCTTTTTTTCATTTATATATTCTTATGCTCTTCATCTCTTCCATTGCCTGTCTGTGCTCCATCTACTGAAATATTTGGAATCATCACCCTCTATCTTCCTACCGCACTATCTCTTACTCGTGGCCATCACTATCTCCCGCAAAACCGATACACTACTTCTACCACGCTTGTCTATTGACCTTGTTCGCTTGAGTTCGCACTGTTCGTTTCAGCTCATGTTGTTGACCTGCATCGAGGCGTCGTTGAGTCGAGTTTCTTCGTCTTTGGCGTACAGATTCACGTTCGAATACAGTACAGAGGAGAATCATGGATAAAGTATGATTGTATGAATTGATGATGAGGTGCAGTAGAGTGCATTGATGTAGACTGCGCTGTGCAGTGATCAACATCGTAGCTCGTAATAACATACCTTCCCCATAAATGTACTCGGTCTGGTTCATCGATAGCAAACCACGAAGCCTGTGGCTCCTGTCCCCTCCATTGCCTATCCGGCAGATATCTTCATCTCCGACCTACACGCAATTGGCTATTGCATACCACACTCATACAATTCATGTAAATTAGGCGCCTATATTCTGGAGATCGAATACACGTATATCATACGTATGCACATGCCTACTCTCATTCCACCAGAATAGGCAGCTATATTCGATCCCATCTCAGACTACATTCATTCTATTCATCGTTGCCTAGCGTATAGAACACAGTAATGGCATCATATCAAATCAGGCATTACACTCAATTGTAGTTGTAATCAAACACCCTAATTTAGTAAGTAAGTATATAGAGAGATGACAAACTCATATCTGACTTGGCACTAACTCACTCCATAGATAAGCACATGCATAACTCGGCATTCTATCAAACATCCTGCAGCTAAATAGTGATTTTCTTTGTCTATGATAGGTACTTCCTATTCAGGAATAAGGTATACTTATGATAGAATACTACCCTAGCATCTCCGATGCAGCTAGTGAGTGGTGCTATAGAATATACGGAGTAGTATAGTATATATAAGAGCATGAAATATATGTTCTCCACCATCACGATCCTATATATAACGCCGAGATAGTAGGTAGGTACTAGATACCTGGGTCAGTAGTAGTTGTAGTAGTAGGCGTCTATATTCAGGAATATTATTGCCTAGAGTGACTACAACTTATGAACCTTATCAATCTAGTAGCTAGCAATTGTGATCGTACATGTGAAAGAAGTATCTCATGCCCCAGGCACAATAACACAATAGGCATCCAACATCTACTACACTATCGCTAGCCATTTCCTGTTCAAGCTATCCCATCACAACATATTACCAAATCTCCTCAAATAAATTAATAAGAGACATGATGGAAAACGGCTAGGCACCTACCAAAGATAGCAGAACGAAAGGATCGCAGGATCACACGTGGTATTTCTCAAAGTCCCACAGAACGATTAGCATGATAATAATAAGCAGGAGTCTAGAATGGCACCATCTCATCTAGTAGTTATCTAGTTAAGGAGTATTCATCCGGTCCGGCCGACCGACCGACCGACCGACCGGTTGAGCGTAATCTTCAGACCCTGGACGGGTAAATCGAAAAACAAAATATGAGAAAAAAAAAAGGGAAATTAAAGTGATGACCTGACCTGACTGACTGACTCCCTCCGATCGGAGTCGGAGGGTCGTTCTGTCCGTCCGATGCATAATATACTCAGTTAGTATTGTAGCTATCATTGTATTTGTAATGCGGGTTTACGGACCCCCTTCGTGGCGTTAACATGAGATAGTATACTACTTAGTATAGTAATAAAATATACGATGAGAACTTTAATATATTCTGTACTTACTGCGAATTAGGCGTCCAACTGATAACTAATCTGTATGGAGTAGTAAGTGGTCTAGTTAGACCATCATAATTAGTTACTTGCCTTGAAGGATTCATTAGTTAACTATTGTGTGTGTTTGTGTGTGTGCCATGAGTGCGTGAGTCATGAGGCCCCCATCCAGCTTTCAACAGACAAGGCATCCAGCCAGCCTTACGACCAATCAACAAGCCTCTCCCATCTTCCTCTTCCCCCCAGATACTGATAATAAATTACTGTACGAAGAGAAATACATTATGGGGATGAAGGAACCGGATTTCACCGATGTCCATTCAGCTTGTCCGACTCCGTATCTGCATACTACACTACTGCCAGTGTATGTATGTGTGTCCATCCATTAATTTATTTCCTCTTGAGCCTCCTGGTGTCACTCATGCATGACGAAGTCCACGCCCCCTAACCAATGTAGTCCTCTGGCAGGTGAGGTGAGGGGGAAAAGGGAAGATGGGCTTTCAGCCTATACGAGATGGGATGCATTCTTTCCTTTTCCCCTCACCCCTCACTCACTCCACCCACCCAGTCACTGCGTCTCGTCTCGTCTCGTCTCGTCTCAACTTGTCTTGACTATACTAGACTGAATTGTTTTCTCCCTTCGGAAATCCCTGGCGTCCGAGCCGTTCGGGCTTCTGATGTATTCTGTTGCCCATCGCGCATCCCTCGTGCAACTCTAGCCTGGTTGCTGCAACGCTAAGAGATGGGGGGTGGATAATCCTGGTCCTGGTCATTCTGAGCCTCCTCTTCATCCCATCTCTACCTCCTTGATATTGGTAAATCTAAAAATGATGAATACGATACGTAGACTTCGCCGCAGTTAGTGATTGCGATAGATGATGCCCTTGGATGGTTGGTGCCAGCGAAACATTCCCTCCGTTTCTGAATGTTGTACAAGACTAAAAATCAAACATTGGGGGGGGGGGGATGAAAAGCGGTATGGGAAGGGATAGTATACATCACATCGCATTCAAATAATTTAGATTTAGATTTATAATCGAAAGAGCAGTAACAGTAACGTTCCTTTAACTCCGTGACAGAAGCCAGCCTTGTGTGGCTGCAGTAGACTCGTAAATTTGAGCCTTGTTCAACTATACTACTATCCTATCTATCTATCTATCTATGCATCTAACGTCTGCCACGCTGTCTGTCTGTCTGTCTGTCTGTCTTTCGGGCATGGTCTGGTTCTAGTTCTAATTCTACCTAAGGCGTGCAGCGGAGCAAACGTAGATTTAAATTTACATTTAAATTTGATTTGGCTTTGGATTTTCTGCGGCTGTAACTGTTGCATAACTCAGCGTTGCATTCGAATTTATTTCTTTTTATTCCTTTTCTTTTATTTTTTTAGTTTTCCTGCTATCGCCACTCATATGTATCTCTGTGGTATACAAACAAAGAATGGAGGGGATGAGGAATTGTATCCTGACCATACAGCTTTACTTCCGGGCAATTACCGGCCAGCCAGCCGCATCTTAACCCTTAAGGTGAGCACATCATGTGGACAGTAAAGTAAGTACTGATTTGCATGGCAAATAAGAACTGAATCTGGTAGGTACAATGCTTAACGCTAGGGGTTTGAATTTGACAGAGACTGATTGATAGACAGACAGCTATAAAAGGGATTAGTTTGCATCGGGGTTGTCCGATGCAAGAAGTATGTATGTAGTATGTAGTATGTAGTATGTGTGTATTGGGTGCTTGCTGGTAGTTGTAGCAGCAAGGCTACTGATTTATTTTCATTATTTCTTTCTCAGAGGCGCAAAGAGAAATTCGTTATTCGGAGCAAAATGGTGTATAATCTACTAGTAACCCTGCAGAAGCCAAGGAAATCAGATATCTTGGTACAAAGTATATCCTGTCCCCCGTGTAGGGTGTAGGTAGATGGGCGGGCCGCTACGGAGTACATTGAAGGCTTAAAATGATTAAAGTACTTACATACTGTCAGATGTATAACTAATGGCTGATTAGTAAATCACCTAACATTGATTGATAATCTGAGCTAGGATCTATCTCTAAGTAGAAATCGAGATGCCAGTATTAGTGTCACCTCACTGTTCTCCAAAGGTACTCACTCACCCACTCGATCCAAGCTCCATATGCAGTAAATAATAACTAAAACCAAGACAAAGACAAAGACACCAGCAAGCGGGTCAAGTCAAAATTCTCTAGACTCGAGAGACATCTCAGAACCAGTCATCGAAGCACACTCCTTACAACCCTGTAGGACAAGTACCACGTCATGCCGGGAGCTGTGGAGGCGCAGCAGCAGTAGCAGCACACATGTTCGTAACTTTCTCTCTCCCTTCCCTTCTTGATCTTCTTCCTGCTGCCGTTTTTTTTTTTTGCGAGCGAGGCAGCATAAAGCAGAGCCCCACTAAGTACGAAGTACATTCTTAGAAACGAAAAGGGAACAATTTTACCTTATTTATTACTCATTCATGTACTAACCAAATAAGGAAGGGAGAGCGACGTGCCGGTCGGGCCAACATCGATCTCCCGCCCATATTTCCACATTCCAGCCTTTTTCCTAATTTCCCTTCCCTTCCCCTTCCCCTTCCCGCCCGTCGTTCGTACATCACTTTAGTAGTTAGTTAGTTAGTTAGTTAAGGTATGGAGTACGGAGTACTCCATAGTTGGCGACTGACTGATCTGATTGACGGGCCACAGCGGCACCACTCATCTACCAAAAGGGAAAAAGTAAAAAGACTGCGGGTTGGCCGGAAGCGGGTTCGACGGGCACGCCGCGTTGTCGCAGGGACAGGGTTCTGGCCCTGGCGTTTTGGGGGGGGCATGCAGTGCACACTTACACACTCATTCCCTAGCGGGACCCAATCATCGTATTTAGGTAGTTAGTTACTCTCTCTCTCTCCCTTCCCTTAGTGCAGTAAGTACTTACTTACCGACTCGTTCTCGCGTACGTCGTGAGCTAATAAGTTAGTTAACTTTCTCTCAGCTGAATCAAACACTGCCCTCAAAACAGACAGACGGACAAACAAGGGAGAGAAGGGGAAGGGCAGAGAGTAAACGCCTGGAACCTACTACCCAGCATATAGCAAGCAGCGTCTCGTAACACAAGAAAACAAGATCCTACGTAGGACGTATACTATCTCCTAATTCCTAAGTCCGAGATCCGAACGGATAACTCCGGTTTGGTTCGGGGGGGGGTTCTGGGTTTGGGGTTTGGGTTTCACTCGTTTAATGCTTGTTTGTTCAACCAAACTTACCTCATACCCTTCTCTTTTCCTCGCCTCTCCTCCTTAGTTACCATCTAGAATGCTTACTTTATATTCATGGAAATATAGAAAGAGAAAATAGTAGCGGCTTTCTGGAAAGCCAAAAAGAAGTGTCTTTAAGTGAGACAGAGACCCAGTCAACTTATCTAGCTGGGGGCCAGTCTAGGTAGCCAGCCTATGGTCCCTGATTTAGTTAGTGTTGGTCTAGTACTAAGTAGATAAGTGGTTTGAGACAGGCGGCGTATCGCCGGGAATTTTCAATCCTTCGTTTAGAGCAGTTAGTTCAACTACTAAGTATGGATGGATGGGGCCCGCGGGTCCGAACAATGAACAGAGAGAGCAAACAGAGCACAGTGGAGTAGTGGTAGAAAGAGAGCCTCGCGGTTCAACTCGATACGTAGCTTCATAGTAGAATGGCTAGTTAGCTAGGGTATAGGTTACCTACCCAACCAGGTAACTAAGTTGCGAAATGGTCCCAAGGCTGTGTAGGCTCTTAAGTTAAGTAACTGTTTGTAAGTAGTAGTATGTATGGTATGCACGATGAACAAATCTCGCAAACCTGTTACTAAAAACCCAAGTAAGTACGAAGTAGTCACTTAGGTACTGCGGCCCCCAAAACGGTGTGATTTGAATTGATTGAGTTTCTGTGCCGAGGCATACATCCCAATTCGATTTACTTATTCAAACTTACTGTGCATATTTGAGTTGTTCAATTGCCGAGGATGTAACTAACTTTGACTGAAGAAGCCCGTGTATGTTTTCTTTTCTTTTTCATCAATAAGTAAGTCAACAGTTAGATAGAGCAGGACCGTGTATGCACAAACGGACACGGAAATCAAAAACACCGTCGGGATCTTCTCATACCCCGACTCGACTCGACTGCCTAACTACCTACTTACTTACTAATCTACCTGATTGAGCCAAGGTACACTAACATGGCTAGCTAGCTAGCTGGTATTTAGCTAGCAACAGTGGGTGTGAAATCGCGCTTGTTTGGATCCGGTAAACAGCAAACTGGTGGAAAACGAATTAATTGACCCAATTCGAGTAAACAGTAAGTTTAGGCCACTAAAACTGGGCCTACTGGTTTAGTGTCAAGGGGCCAAGCGCAACCCCCCTTAGGTTCAAATCCACTGCTGCCCCAGGGTTGCCATACGAGCCGACCAATCAGCAGGCACAGCCACCGGCGGGAGGCGAAAGCCTCCCCGTCCACGGTCTGGGTTGGCAGTTACCCACTTTGGGACCGGAGACATGCGCGGGGATTTCGGGATGGGTGGAGTTGCCGACAAAGTAACTTTTTGGGTCGCTGGCGGGCCTGAGACCTGACCTGACCTGACCTGACCTGGCCTCGGCTCGATTCGAACTCGACGAACTTCTAGATGGAGGATAGTGGCATTGCATAGCAACACGGCTTGGTTGAAGCCAGACTCGATTCAGAAAAGTATGGTAATCTATCTTTTGAAACACACGGACGGACGGATTGATCGGTCGGTAAGAAAAAATAAATAGAAAAAGAAGAAAAGAAAAAGGAACAATTGCTTTCCCAATAATAGCCAATTTCCCACACACGCATACACCTGTAGCCTTGTTCCACCCCACCCCCCCTCCATTTCATCATAAACGCCGCAAAACATGCATCTATCGGCTTGCACAAATCAAATAAACCTCAAAGCAATGCGCGGGACCCGGGGTGGGGTCCTTGCTGGAGCGCAGTCCACAAAAATATTCCTCTGGAGAGGAATAATAAAGAGAAGAAGAGAAAGGTGCTCACAAAGGAAACAAAATCATCAATCGCAAACAAAAGAAACGTAGGAAACAAAAAGGTGAATCATGCGGTTACATCCAACCTTGACTCGATAATACATCATAACTGTCATTAAAGCGGGCAAGAGTGGGGTGAATCAAGGGAAAAGATAAGAAGGGTAAAAGAAATAAGAAGAGGAAAGCAAAGTACCACCGCTAGCCTTCAGTAAAAAACAACATCAAATCAGAACAGCGAGTATGAGTGGGGGGAGCACGGGTCCGACTTCGGTGTAAGAGGACAACCTAGTAGAGGCTCTGCTGGGGTGGAAGGGGAGGAATGATCATCGCTGTAGACTGAAGACAAAGGTGGCATCTGAAAGACGGCATTAGCTCCGCTAACCCTGGTACTTCTTGCACAGACCGGCATCAGGTAGAGAGAGGGGCATGTACAGGAATGTTGTGCTCTGAAAGGTGTTGTGGTGTCGGACCCAGATCAATGCCAGCCATGGACGCATAGCTCATACTGAAGGGGCTGACAATCTCGTCATCGGCGTAGGAGTGGTGCTTCTTTGCGCCCGATCCGAGGATAGGACCAGGCAGGATCGAGGGCAGCGTTGTTCCGTACTCTCCGTATGGCAGGTCATTGTAGTGGTTGTTGAGAGAGTGGTAGGAAGGCGGCTGTCCGTACGAATGGTGACCATAGGATTCCAAGTGAGAGTATGAGGGGTAAGAGAACACGGGAGGCGGCGAGGCTGAAAGCTGTCGAGTGCATTGCTGGGAGAACATCGGTCCGCGATCTTCCTGGGTGGAGTGGCTGTCATAGGAAGAGCCTCGTTGCGCGGAGGTGTGACGGTTTGCATCTGAGCTAGACTTGGTTGCGCGAGCCTGTTTGGTGCGGGACTTGACAGTGTGCACCACCGCCTTCGGCGACTCCGAACCCTCGTGTGACCGTTCTGGAGATGTCGAAGCAGTTGCGGCTCTCTTCTCCAGGTCTTCGAGGCGGCGCTTTAGCTTCTTGCCTATTATCGCATTTCAGTCAGCTTTGTGTCGCAACATAGAGAATCAACCGGCGAGTAAGATAACTTACGGTAGTTCCTCTGAGCAATGCGATTCTGTATCCGGCGACGCTCTGCAAGGTCTGAGATCTTGGTCCAGTCCTCATTGGGGTTGGCGTTGGGACTGAAAGCGCTGCTGGTGCCGTGGTTGGAGCTCCTCGAGCTCGAGGTTTGTTGATATGAGTAATTGGAAGACCGATGCATCTTGGATTGAAGTATAGTAGAGGGAGATGATAGTATATATAGATCAAAGCTCTTGTTCACAAGAACCAGAGATATACAAGCAGTAGTAGAAAGTGGAAAGCAGTTGGACTGATGATATCAGAGGAGGATGAAGTTGAAAGAAGATGAGGAGCCAGAGGGAGGATCTGGGATTGACTATATAGATATTGAATCCAAGTGAGAGTCACGAGTCAAGGATGATCAACATCTGAAACCCAAAAGAAAAGACACAGGATGCGTTCAGTATTTAAAACTAAGCCATGGGTCGATCAGCTGGAGAACAGGTCTGTAGCTTATGCCTGCTAAGCCCCGGGTCCGAATGAAAGCAGCCCGTCCGTGATGGTCGATTGAACCGTTGCGATAGCAGCGTTAGTCCGTGCTCCGAAGAATTAATTATAATTGACATTTTCCTTTTTCGAATTAAATTATTATGGGTAATAATTATTTTTATTTTTCCCAAACCCAAAAGGATAATATTGAATTAAGAAAGGTAAAAAAAAAAAAAAAAAAAGAATAATAAAAAAGAAAAAAGGTAATAATCAAATTGGGAATGGCTGGAGACTTGCAGGGTATGCATGGCTTGACCATGTGTTGGTAGGGAACTTTTCCCGAATGGATTGGCGGATGTGCAGGGCTGCGTCACTAATGCCCGGTGTGGACTGGAGGGAATCCTAGGGAAGGGGGAGGGGAGGGAAGGAAAAGGCGTGAGGCTGTTTTGGCGGACCCCGATGACCGATATGGCCGAGAGAGCGAAAGCGAGAGTGGGAGGGGGGCGCGGCCGCGGAGGGTTAAACAGGATCCATGATATCAGGCAGTGCTAGCTAGACCAAGCCAGCCAGCCCCCCCCTCTCTTGCTTGTCTCCCCCGGTTGGTCCACCAATCTCGACGACCATGTGGTTCCATATCGATCTGCCAGAGATAGTAAGTAGCTACCGGACAGGCCCGAATGCCTGAGAATAGGAACATTTTCCCTCTATCCAAGTATAGACAGCAATGCGCTTTTTAGTATTCATCAAATACATAGATCAAATTGCATTAGTACGATACGACTACAACTGTCTACTAACTAGGCTCTGTGTCATGTCTTCCCCCATCATGCAGCATTCTCCCGAGATTCTACGGTCGTATATTCCCTGTCAAATCATGCAGTGCCGAGAGGAGCTGAGTTCTGTCGGTCCAGGATTCGAAACGAATGCAACAACGGGCCCTTTCCGGACTAGTTGGATAGCGTGTCTTAAACGGAGAAGCCGTTCAATTGAGCCAACCGAGACGGTCAAAAGCCCCAAGAAGCTACTGCTGCTGCTGCTGCATGGCCATCCTTCCATTCCCTCACCCACACACATACTCCATCACACTCAACATGCGAGGTTGACTTATCATCAAGGGGGTGAGTGGGTGTGGGTGTGGGGGAGAATGGGCCCAGCATGGCGGGCTCCTAATCTAGCTACTAGCTTTTCCAACTTCAGTAAATAGAAATTAGGCTTGGAGATTTGTCCTACCGATGGACGGCCTAAGAACGTAGTCTCGAACCGAGTGACCCAATTACATTCGTTCCCTTGGCTTTGAAACGAGCGGAAAGGTGTGCGTGAGGGTTAAGTGTGCGTGGCTTAAGCAGGATGTTTGTTGGACTGGTCTGCCAGGAGGGGGCTGAAAATGAAAAGCGCGGCTTTTACAATCTAGTGGTATGTTGGGTGGCCTTGTATCAATACTGTATTGGTATGGGTTTATTGGGTAATTAATTGATTGTTACACAACCTGTTCCCTTCTGTCTCTGTCCCCTCCTCTTCTTCCCCATCACACCATGTGAGGCAGGGCGATTGTTCAATAGATGAGGAATTTATTTAATTGTCTCATGAACTCTATAGACTTCTTGTGCTTGATGAATGCGTTTCAATAATTATGTTGTTCTGTTTCAAGTGTTCCATGCCGATGATCCGCGGAGATCCATTACATACACACGCATACATACATACTATTTGTGTAGTCCTCAGGCAATCAAATATCTCCCAGAATGAACCAACTATCCACTAACCCATTAGCTAATGGTTCATCCTAGACCCGTAGCCCCCAAAGACCCATTAACCAGGATATAGTAGTGACTCCAATACTACCTACCATCGTGGTAGCACTACCATCATCACCACTATTCCGGTCTTTGTCTTTTGTCTTTGTCGCTTAAATCCGACAGGTTCAGGTGAACCATGGAAATAGTGGAATTTCCGCCAGCCTGTGTCTTAGTAGGCACGTTTTAATCTCCATCGTCTAGGGTGATTGGCGGGCGATGTCACCATCCTCAATTAGCTAGCAGGGAAGACTAATCTACTAGTAAGATAGCTACCCATCCTTCAAGTCAGATCATAATTGATGTCGTATTAACGACAGTTTTTTTGTGCAGATTACCGCTGGATTTCTCTCCCCTCCCTTCCCTTCCTTCCCTCAAGCGGCATTCCTTCGAACCGTGTCATGGGCGAACCATATGCAGAAACGGGTCAATTTGGATGGAGCACGTGGTTGTTGCCGTATACTTTATTTAATGTAGTACGCTGTGCTCCGTGGTACTTACCTCTAGTCTACTAGTTATCTATCAGTGTCCGGTTACCTCTTTCGTATCGCCCGGCACGGCACTGTTCGGCCCTGATTGCTGCCGGTCGTATTCGCGTATCTATGAGTTACGCTGATTACGAGTGCTAGATGCGGTTACCTAACCACTGTATCTACTGGGTTACTAGTATAATAGTAATATACGCAGTAGTTACTACATTGAGGAATCCTTTCGACGTCCACACACAGCCCCGGTAATGCACACATAGACGCACAGTTTCTTCAGCTCCTTGACTTTCGAGCATCACGTCTTGTTGTCTGCCTTCTTTTGCTCATCGGTCTCTGTTGACCTTACATGCTATGCAATGCATGATTCTCAAAATAGCCCCATCCAGTCATGCCCGCGTGCGCCCGCCCGCGCTGATTTCCGAATTTAGATAACTGCTAGGAAATCATTGGAAGACTGCCATTTGGGTGCCGACCATGAGGCACCGGCATCAGGCTACTAGTCTCGCTACTGAGTGACCACCTGCGTCAAGTCTATCTGCAGGTCGAGGACAAACTGGGATTGAGGGAAAAGGGTGGTGCGTGTGTGTGAAAGTGGTGAGTGTGCCTCGATTGACACGAGCAGCGCCCCTTCTAGTGCACGGTCTCGACTTCTGCCACGTTGCACCCCTCGATCTTGGCAGCACACTAAGGATAAAGATCTCACCTATTCCGAACGGGTGGTGGGAATGAGGGGAAAAGGGAGGGGAGAGGGGAGAGAGACGGAAGGGGGGGCGGCGCTGCTCATCCACTGTCTTAGCTATACTTCTTCTGAAAAGTCACATTCCTTTACCCTTATAGGTAAGCCAATGCCAGTTGCTGATTTGTTGGATGACTTGCTTCTGGAGGGTGTGGTGTTTGTTTCATCTATCTTTGTCAACCATCATGTCCATGTCCATACCTTGCCGATGCTTGGAAGTTGCAGTTGGATTGGGCGCAATGAGACATGGAGAAGGGAGAGAAACTTGCAGATCAGTTGATCACTTGATTTTCTAACTTCGATCAAGCACAGCCCGGGTTGCGGACAGTCCGGAGATGGGGAAGATAGCCTTGTTTCGGAGGCTACCAATCTCCGGCCTCGAAGTTGACTGACTGAACTGACTCTCTGTTCCCGTAATACAGCCTTTCGGTTGCTGAGTTAGTTTCGTTGGTGGTTTTTTCCTTTCCGTTTTATTTTTAACATTAAGGTTTTTTATTTTATCTTTCATTATCGTCAATTGCCATAAGAAGTCATGATATTGTTATCCGTTAGCGCTTCTGGATAGTAGATAGCCTTATCGCGAAGTGGTCAGTACTCCTCACCTCCCATGATGGGATAGATGGATGCATGTACATTGCCCCGAGATTATTGCATTATCAAGGGCCCCTGCTTGTACCTGGTGCTGGTGCATACAACATTCCGGACACTACCCCCAAGGAGGCATTTAGCTAGGTGGCTATGTAGCTGCGAAAGAGAATCACAATTCGAAGAGCCCCCCAAATGTCAAGGCTCTTGCCAGATTCGGTTTGTAATCTTAAGAACCAGGACCCCTGCGTACTGTTAGTGGATGCCATTACAAATCAGATCGGCAACCCCCAAGAAATCCTGTGGATACTAACCGGGAGGGGGAACGACGGAGCGGGGACCACCTGAATCCACTGGTACACGAGCGGGCCAGTGACATTGCACAAATGGCGAGAGGCTTTTCAGCCCCAAGGTGTCATTCTTCCGCTGCAATTGGCTATACGAATTACTTACCGTATTTGGATATTGGGCCTTGGGAGGATGCCTTACTAGCACGCTCCCGTGTTTTACCTCCTATGAGGCTCAATCACTTGCATATTCCAGTCTGATTGACATACACTGCCTCAGAGCCAGGTGTCAACGAGTATTCCTGTCTGCATCACTGTCCATGTGTAGGGCTGATGGCAGTTACGGTTCATGGTCCATGGCTTATTGGTCCAACAATGAAATTCCCCAGCCTGATTCAAGAGCGGAGAGGTAGTTATTAGGCCTACTAGTACGTCAAGCCTTCGATGAATCACATATCACATGTATTGCCCGGTCGGAATGTCTGGTTTCTGAAAGCGGCGAAGCAATTTTCCTTTACCCTGGCTCATGTCTTTTCTGTGAGAGTCTGCGTCTGCATGTGTGTCTCCATCTGATACAAGAGATCGCAACCCATGACTCGACCCGACTCATACACATGTAACCATATCTCGTATGGGTGTGCCTGGCTATTCTGTCCTCTTTCTTCATCAGGCCTCGCGTGCCGACCTTGTGCACTAAAGCTGGGCAGATAGCGTCATCATTGGTCCAGGATAGTGCTCGTATATTTATGCATGCCGATGGCCTATTACTAGTGCATGAGGATGCACTTTTTGACAGGGATTGGGGGAGCGCCTGCGGCGGCCAAGGGTTGCCAGATACTGAATCGAACCTTCTGGTACATATCTAGAAGCACTGGTCCTTGGCGGACGGCACAACTGGTTGGTATGTTTGCTTGCTCGGTCGTCTCACTGGCCGGCTTCTGCGGCATCAGAGATATTAATAATATTCAGGAATGCAGTGTGCGCCAGGCTTGCAGTAGTCTTGACCATTAGCTCCAAAAATGCAATATCCTTTTGAGTGCAGAACATTATCCTGAGAAAGGTTTAGTAGCTAGGAAGGGATATCGTATTGTTGCTCTCAGGTATATTGGACTTATAATGAATCGGTCGGACTGGAAATTTAGTTCGGAATAGGTAGTTGGACGCTAAGTGTGGGAATAACAAGTTAGCTTCAGGTCTATGATTCCCATCGGGAGGACCTTCGAGTAACTGCTCTGTGGGTAGCATCTGGACTGTCCGTCGAGCCATGTCGGATGGAGCGGCCAGTAATTTCCGCGCGCGCAACTTTCATTCCCGGTGGACGTGAGTCACGGTTGACAGGATGGCATGGGTTAATCTTGGCCGCCCCGCACGCCGCCAGGAATGGGAGGATGACGAAAACCCACTTGGACAAAGTACGGGGGACTCCACGTGCAAAGGTCATGGCGTTTAACGGGAAGGGAGGGATGGTGCAATCCTTATCGGCCATGCTAAATTAATGCCAGCACGCCTCGTGGGAGAAGGACGGAGGCATTCATGCGACGGCTCAATGCCCGGCCTGAGGAATCCTCAAGCTTTCAGGAACCTTGTCTGACTTTCATAGATCTGACGATCATTATAGTCACATCATTGTCCCCCTTCATCAGATTCAACGCGCTGCCACTCAGAATCATAATATCGATGGTGTTTCGTGAAGACAATAAAAAAAAGAAAGTTATCTCTTGACTAATTATGGCTGAGTAGGCAAGGTTCGCAACAATGCGTCTTTTTTTTCTTCCTTCTTGGTGTTCCTCCACAAATACAACATTATATTGTTGGCCCCATTTTCGCAATAATCGATGCATTGCCATCCTAACGTGGCAGCGACATGAGGCCAACATCGCCTAGTCTTCCGCCCCCTCAACCTAGCAGGGAACTAGTTTCAGAACGGAGCAACGGCAGAAATGGCCCCCAATTTCATACTCGCTGCTCCATATCGCAATCTTCTCTCATAGGTGCCCATGCCCACAGACCCTTTGCGCCAGAGTACGGTGTAATAAGCCGGGCACGTCTGTTACAGCCCGCTCGCTTACTATTTGCGACCCATGCCACACCCTTCATGCTCGAAATAAGCACACCGACGTGACTCGATGATTTAATGATCGACATGCTGAAGCTGATTGTGTACTGGAAATAATATTGACGGAATAGTTGCAACAGTGGCTTGTCGTCTCGTAGATTCTGCTGGGAGAATATATCCCTAGTGCTACCATGTGTTGATGTGAGTGACACCAATGAACGAGGGTACCAATCACCATCTGTAGATCCCACTAGGTAGTACTAGCCTTGGCCCATTAGTAGTCCACCGGGTGCATGGGGCACTGCTGCGGTTATTAAAAATCCAGAGGGCTAGTTATTGTCACAATAACGTTCACCAGTGGAGCTGGTACAGGTCCGTTCAACGATTTTGACCAGGCCTGGTTTAATGAACCTAATACTGCAGATTGCCGACACAATGGCAAAAGGGTGCCGCCTTGGGCGTTTGCTACTTTGCAGTTGCCCGTTGACTCGGAAATTCTAAAACGGACAGCCAGAGCTGCGGTTTGTTAATGTCTTTGTGGTAGCCAAACCACTGTGATGGGCTGGGTGCCTAAGGTGGATTCTATTCGCGTTTTGGCCGGTTGCAGGACTAGTGATGCAGAAGCCAGCACAGCAGAGCCTCATCCAAGTGCGTGCGTAGCTGCTGTGTTGTGTGTGTATAGAGGGGTGTGTGCACAGCCAAGTTGGGCGTACACATATCGCAGACGCCTTACCTTGCTTGGTAGTAATTAATTATTAGTAGTTAGTAAGTTAGTAGTTGTCGGCCTGCCCGATGGGGGTGGTAGTACAGGTATCGGTCCGTACCATGGACCAGGAGTGTCTGGAAGGCTCCGTAACGCCGTATCAAACCAGATTGGTAACCGGTAGCAGAGAGGTTCAATGGAAGTAGCATTGTGCATGACTAGGATTTGATTTCCAATCCTGAAATAAGGTGTTGATGAGAGCCACGGGTAACTATGGCCGCCTAAGACTAGTATCTGTTTGAGAGAATATTGGGGGAACCATGAGAAACCCATTTCGTCAGATGTCTCGGGGACGGTGAATGTGCTGTCCGAACTCCGCGGACTGTCCGGAACGGACATAGTTCTGCCGACCTCATTACGGCAATCAATTCATTGAGCTATCAATCAAATGACTTCTTGTACGAGTGTATTGGGGACTAATTGGCCCGGTCAGTAAAATTAAATGAACCCTTGTGAGTCCGAGTTACGTCGACTCCTTCGGACATCAGTTGTGTGGTAGTGGGTCGGGTTATTCACTCTATCGGGCTGGTGCTAGCTGGGAGTAGGCAGGCAGCTGCCTTCCTTCGCACGGGTGATTGTGGAGGAAGACCTGATTGATTGATTGATTGATTGCTGTCACCTCGTGGCAAAAGCTCGGGGTTTACTGCGGCTCGTCCGTCTCCGTGTCGAGAACACACTGGATACTCACTAGTATGGACTACGGAGTACTGATGGGGCCAATACGGCCGTCTCCATTTGTGCTTTGCAGGCCTTAGGCAGTGATAGTCGACATCTCGCCAAGACCACGATCCTGCTGCTTGGGCCGGTGTTGAAGAACATTGGTCGTTAAGGTGCCCCATCTGTCGTTTCAGATTCTGTAGGCTTCATGGCCCACTCTCGAGCTAGCACACTGCCACACTTCTTGGTTGGACTAGATGTATTGCAAGGCCACGGCGATCCAACATCTCTGGAATCTGTTGGTATGACGGTATGGATAGGGTTCCACCACCCATTCGCATAGACTCCCGCTATAGGCTAAACCGCCATGGATGGAGCATTCTGTGAGAATTGAATCGCTCCATCTCGGGAAAGAAGGGACAGAAAGACTGACGGAACGGATCCTGCCGGCAGAGTAAGGCATAGTGGACACGAGACTCCTACTGCTGCTGCCAAATGCTCGATGATCTGCTCGCAAGGTGATTGTTGCCTGGAAGTCGCCCCGTAGTTGATACTATCTGAATGCTACTCCACAGTTCATAGGGGTACACTGACTCACGGAGACCTGAAAGTACGGACGGACTGGTCGGTGTTGGATAGATATCCCGTGTCCGGGCACTGCTTTCCTAGTAGTTCGGGGCCGAAACCGGACAGCCACGCCCTACTGGTCTTCGTGACTGGGATCCCATGGGCGTGCATCTACTCCATTGATGAGAAGATATCCAATAATCAATGAGTCTGGCGGGATACGCATCTGGAAACTGTCGATCATCCTCGATTATTACAACTTGAGAGTATGGTAGCTGGGATATCGTTGTGTAGCGATGCTATTTACAGAGACGGCTGAGCGTACCAGCAAACCAAAATCACCCGAGTCACAGCCCATGTCCAACACAGCTGCCCTTTGCACCTCATAAAGGGGTGAAACGCAACCAACTGAGACAGGGGACGTGCCTCAGGCGTCCTGCAAGTAATTCCTCCAAGGCACGGCTGACTACGTCTGCCATGGCCCGTTATCTGCAGGCTCCTCGCGTGCATCGCCATCATCCTTGACCTCTGTTGCTGGACGGATGTGTATGTCGTGCAGGAGGCCGCAGATTATGTTTCCGTCTTGTCTAGGGTTACCTGGCAAACACCTTCAGTCCCGTCTCCTAAGAACGCCAAAAACTTTGCCCTCGATTACTGGAATAATCCAATCACCGCTAGGTCGCAAGACGTAAGAAACAAAAAAAAAACCCGCCTTTCTTTTGATGTGATGCTCGTGCTCGCCAAGAACAATCACCACTAAATCGACGTATAGTAAGAAACATGCCAACAAGACCGGCCATTTGATCTCCATCTATCATCAAAATTTACCAGAAAAATCTAGCAATGCAAGCTTAAAAGACCAGTCCCGTATCTTAACACCTCTTTTCGCTGGTTTAGAGGACATAGCTACTGGTCGGTTAGCAAGCTGCAACATCCAGAGGGAAACAGGCAGGCTCTGAACTTACCTCCAGGGGTGACTCTCATCACCATACTGGATACCTTCGATCCAGTTCTTCATCTGAAGAGCAATCTCGCCTGCTTCCTCAGTTTCCTTCAGGCCGCAGTCGACCAGCTTACCCCGGTAGCTGATTGTCCGTACGGGACTCACAATGGCTGCAGTACCGGCGCCGAACACCTCGATCATTCTGCCCTCCTCGGCCGCTTCGGCGACTTCGGACATCTTGAGCTTACGCTCGGAGATGGTCCAGCCCTTGGGCACCAGTCTTTCCCTGGCCAGCCCCAGCACGGAGTCTCTGGTCACACCTTCGAGGATTGTTCCGTCCAAAGGCGCAGTGATTAGTTCCTTCTGGCCAGTTTCCTTGTTCTTCAGAGCAACGAAAAGGTTCATGGTGCCGACCTCAGTAATGTACTCTTCCTCTCCAAAGAGCCACAGATTCTGCTGGAAGCCACGGGACGCCGCCTCCAGCTGAGGGAGGACGCAGGGGGCGTAATTGGCGCCCAGCTTCTTGTCTCCAACACCACCAGGCCAGGCTCTAACAGCATAGTCGGTAGCCTCCAACGAGATGGCCTTAAAGCCAGTGGGGTAATACGGGCCAACCGGGCTTGCAATCACGAACAGAAGAGCAGAGCCCGGGGGTCCCACACCGAGGGTCTTTTGGGTTCCAATCATCGTGGGCCGCAAGTACAGAGAGTAGCCCCGCTCGCTAATTATTCGAAGGTAAGTCATTATCCTCAATCATCAATTGGTGGGATTTTCACCAACCTAGGAATGAACCTGCTGTCCAACTTCACGAACTCTCCAATCAATTTGGTGAGAGCCTCGCCATCAAAGGAAGGCAAAGCAATGCGCTTCGAGGATTTGTTCAGGCGCGCCATGTTCTTGTCCGGACGGAACAAGCGAATCTGACCAGACTCGTCCTTGTAGGCCTTCATACCCTCAAAACATTCGAACGCATAGTGGAAAACACAAGCCGACGGGTCGAGACTGAGGTTCTGGTACGGAACAATCTGGGGAGAGTGCCATCCCTCCGTCGCGGTCCATTCAATCGAGAGCATATGATCTAAGATGGAATGCGCATTAGAAATTGGACAGCGCTGGGAAACGACACGTGCTCGTCATACCGGTGAAGGTCTTGCCAAAGACCAAGTCCTTCGGGGCAGTCAATTCCTTAGGGGTATTCGTCTTCGAGACTGTAAGTTTCGAGGGGTCAAGGGGGGCTAGTTGGGAGGCAGCAGCTGAAGTAGCACTGAAGCATCTCTTCCATAATTGAGCCGTTGCGGGAGATTGAAGGGCGCGCGGTGCGACGAGGTTTTGTAACGCCCTGCGACGAGCGAATTGAAACGACTTCATGATTGCTTTCCGGCTTAAATAACAGTCCAAGGGGGTAATAACACCAGAAAGAAAGAATAAGAATTCCAGACAAAGGACAGCAAAGAAGCGCAGGAGAAGAACCAGGACAGGAAATAAACCAGAAGAATGTACCGACAGGACCGAGGGCGGGCTGTGGAGCTTAAAAGGCGGATAAGAACGGTAGTCTATGACTCTTGCCCACGGACTACGGCACCAACTCCGAGATTAAGGTCTGACAAGGTCGATTTGGGTTCAATCATGGAGACCACACTAAGCGAACCTTTTGAATCTGGGCGTCCCGCCAGTACGTAAATGGAAATCTACATGAGCAATTGTACTGGCTATATTGCAAACTCTCCAACCAATAGACCGGTGAAGAATCAGACACCCCAGAATGAGCTTTAGGTTAGGTTCCATCCTCTGGGTCAGTTTCCGTTTCGAGTCCGACGTCGGCGAGGCGAGTTGCCGGCAGTAAATCCGCGTTCCAGCCAGGCGGTGAGTCCGGGGAAAGACCCTCCTTCCAGTCTCATTCCTGATTGGCCAAAGAGTGTTCCTTGCACGTGATGCTCTCCGACCGGGCAGATTAGCAGCGGCCAACTGATACCTGAAAGCTACCGGAGGGGAGAGAGAT